AAAGTTTATTTGGAGACGGTAGCTCGCTATGGAATTTTCTGGTATTTTTTCGTCGATCAGGAGACCGACGTGAAAAAAGGCCCGACGAAAAGTGAACGCCAGCTGTTTGCCTCTCGCTCTCTCTCGTGACTGGCGTACGGTTTTCGTCGATCTGGATACTAGGCTAAAAAGCCCGACGAAAATGGAACGCCAGCTGTTTGCCTCTCGGAGTCTCTCATGACTGGCGTACGGTTTTCGTCGATCTGGATACTAGGCTTTACCGCTGAGGGCATCCCAACAAAAGATAACATTCTAAAAATATCAGAAAAGCGATTGAGTGGTTTGCTGGAGAGTTGCTTGAGAGTGGGTATAATATTTGTTTTTTTAAGATCAATGATTTCTATTCACTTTTTAAATAAACAAGAAAGAAAAGCTAACTTCGGACGGAGCCGAAGTTGATATACCCTTGCAGAATATTCTGTAAATTATATTCTTCAAAATTATTCATATGATGTATTCTTAATACTCATAAAAAGTCCCAACTTCCTAACTTTAAAAACACCAAAGTTATGGCATTTCCAATCGTTCAGTTATATGGCAGCTATAGGATATAGTCGGCCGATCCTTATGAAATTTGGTAGGTCGGATTGATTGGCCAAAAATAAAACCCATAGAAAATCCCAACTTCCTAACTTTACAAACACCCAAGTTATGGCATTTCCGATCAATCAGTTATATGGCGGCTATAGGATATAGTCGTCCGATCCTTATGAAATTCGGTAGGTCGGATTAATTGGCCAAAAATAAAACTTCTAACTTCCTAACTTCCTAACTTTAAAAACACCAACATTATGGCTTTTCCGATCGTTCAGTTATATGGCAGCTATATGATATAGTCGCCCGATCCGGCTCGTTCCGACTTATATACTACCTGCAATAGATAGACAACTTTTGGGAAAGTTTCAAGCAGATAGCTTTAAAACTGAGGGACTAGTTTGCGTAGAAACGGACAGACGGACAGACGGACATGGCTATATCAACTCAGGAGGTGATCCTGATCAAGAATATATATACTTTATAGGGTCGGAAATGCCTCCTTCACTGCGTTGCAAACTTTTGACTGAAATTATAATACCCTCTGCAAGGGTATAAAAATAGTCTATTGTGTCTCTAATTGCTCTTATTTGCAGTTAATGGTTGATTATACATATTCTTAGGCCTATAAAAGACCCAACAGGAAACCTTTATTGAAATTTAGCTGAACATTAAAAAATATCAAAAATACTCGATATATCGATATTTTTTTACGATATTTTTTAATATCATCGAGTGATATTTTTTAAACAGCAAATATCATCAATACGATATTTTTTCAAAATCCAACAACCCTACTTTGTTGTTTAGAAAATGGCGCGCGCGCTTGCTGCCGACCTCCTTCATACGGGTGAGAATCGAGGAGGAGAGCACTTCTACTATGGGTCTGACATCAGTCATTTGCTGTGCTGATGTCTGCTTGAAGTGCAAACTTATTTTCTGGTTTTTATTGTTTAAGACCTTTAATCGAAACAATGTTGTTGATTCTATACTAACTTAAATGTTTCATAAAGCACTTTGCATTTACGAAAATGTAATATCTTGTTTCGTTGGCCTTTTATCGCTGAATAAACTTGAACATTGTCATTTGTAATTTGAGCAATTTATTTAAAAACCTATTTTAAAATTAGAAATCTAACAAATATTTGTACGATTCTTAATACAAAATGAAATTTGAACTTTTTACTTTAGGAAATATTGAAAATTTAATCCGTTTTCATTAATTAAGATATTTTATTACTTGTTCCAAGTTGAGCCCAGTCGACATAAAAAGTTTGCTTTCAGGGTACATTCGGTCATAGTTTTCGAGATGAAAAAAATATAAAAGTTTCAAAATGTTATAGTTATTTAAGATTTTCTTAAACAAATCATTTGCATGTTTTGACCGACTTAATTTTTTAGTAATGTTTATGATAGTTTTGGCCAAAATAGGCAAATTTGGCTTGGCTATTCCCATACAATCTTGCTCCTATTATAAATCGTACCAAGTCCCAATCAAAAGAAAAATATAAATTGTATTGTTTTTGACATATTTTTTATTTTGTTTAATAGTAATGGGATTCCCCAACACTGCTGACTTATTTTTAAAGTGTGTTTTGCAGTTTTTCGATTTTTTAAAGAGATTTGAATACGGCATGTGGGTTGTGCTTGTCCCATACAACTTTGTGCCTGATAAAAGTCCCACCAAATACCAATAGAAAAAAAATACGAATTCGAACTTTTTCGAGATAGATTTTGTTTTATTTAATAAATAAGGGATTCGTTATCGTTGCTAAACTATTTTCAAGTTGAGTTTAATAGTTTTTCCATTTTTTAATGAGATTTGAATGGCTTGGCTATTCCTTTACAATCTTGCTCCTTTTTAAAATCGCACCAAGTCCCAATCAAAAAAAAAATATAAATTGTATTGATTTTTAACATATTTTTTATTTGTTTAATAGTTAAGAGATCCCTAAACGTTGCTAACTTATTTTTAGAGTGTGTTTTGCAGTTTTTCGATTTTTTAAATAGATTTGAATACGGCATGTGGGTTGTGCTTGTCCCATACAACTTTGTGCCTGATAAAAGTCCCACCAAATACCAATCGAAAAAAAATACGAATTCGAACTTTTTCGAGATAGATTTTGTTTTATTTAATAAATAAGGGATTCGTTATCGTTGCTAAACTATTTTCAAGTTGAGTTTAATAGTTTTTCGATTTTTTAATGAGATTTGAATGGCTTGGCTATTCCCTTACAATCTTGCTCCTGTTTAAATATAAATTGTATTGATTTTTGACATATTTTTGATTTGTTTAATAGTTAAGAGATTCCTAAACGTTGCTAACTTATTTGTAGAGTGTCTTTTGCAGTTTTTCGATTTTTTAAAGAGATTTGAATACGGCATGTGGGTTGTGCTTGTCCCATACAACCCTGTGCCTGATAAAAGTCCCACCAAATACCAATCGAAAAAAAATACGAATTTGAACTTTTTCGAGATAGATTTTGTTTTATTTAATAAATAAGGGATTCGTTATCGTTTCTAAACTATTTTCAAGTTGAGTTTAAAAGTTTTTCGATTTTTTAATGAGATTTGAATGGCTTGGCTATTCCCTTATAATCTTGCTCCTACTTAAAATCGTACCTAGTCCCAATCAAAAAAAAAATATAAATTGTATTGATTTTTGGCATATTTTTTATTTGTTTAATAGTTAAGAGATTCCTAAACGTTGCTAACTTATTTTTAGAGTGTGTTTTGCAGTTTTTCGATTTTTTAAAGAGATTTGAATACGCCATGTGGGTTGTGCTTGTCCCAAACAACCTTGTGCCTGATAAAAGTCCCACCAAATACCAATCGAAAAAATACAAATTCGAACTTTTTCGAGATAGGTTTTGTTTTATTTGATAAATAAGGGATTCGTTATTGTTGCTAACTTATTTTAAAATTGAGTTTAATAGTTTTTCGGTTTTTTAATGACAGTTGAATGGTTAGTGCTATTCCCTTCAAACCTTGCACATTGTTCACATCCCAATGCCACACCCCCCTAAAGCGAATTATTTATTAAAATAAAATACATATTTATATATTTATTATAATTAGAAGACGCCAAAAGAAAAATTAATATCTCATCGAAAGTATTTTGTGGTCCTGAAAAGGACCGATTTGTACAAAGTATGCTGGCGCATTGGTCGCTAGTTGAGACCGTCTCAGCTTAAGCACGCTCACCGCGAATGCGACGGGCCAACTGGATGTCCTTGGGCATGATTGTTACACGCTTGGCATGAATGGCACACAAGTTGGTATCTTCAAAAAGGCCAACAAGATATGCTTCGCTAGCTTCCTGAAGAGCCATCACTGCCGAGCTCTGGAACCGCAAATCAGTCTTGAAGTCCTGAGCGATCTCACGCACCAGACGCTGGAAAGGCAGTTTGCGAATCAGCAGCTCGGTACTCTTCTGGTAGCGACGGATCTCACGCAGGGCCACAGTTCCGGGGCGATAGCGATGGGGCTTCTTCACGCCTCCGGTGGCTGGGGCGCTCTTACGAGCGGCCTTGGTGGCCAGTTGTTTGCGTGGCGCCTTGCCACCAGTCGACTTGCGAGCGGTTTGCTTGGTACGAGCCATTTTCGATTTCTATGTTGATATTTATATTCACTGATGTTCACTTCGCGTCTGAAAACACAATAAACGGTTGCCGCGTTCGCTGCCTGCTTATATAGCAAAATGTGGAGGGTTGGAAAGAGAAAGAGGCAGAGGCCATCTCGTTTGACGAGCGAAGAGCGAGACGAATATATCGCTCGGACTCGCTCGGGTATCTATGGGTTTAGGTATAAATAGGGGCACGCCGAAAAATCGGAATTAGTTCTTCAGTGACTTTTGTGCAGTGTGTTTATATAGTAGAAAAGTGAAAAATGACTGGTCGTGGTAAAGGAGGCAAAGGCTTGGGAAAAGGTGGCGCCAAGCGTCATCGCAAAGTGCTGCGTGATAACATCCAGGGTATTACGAAGCCAGCCATACGCCGTTTGGCTCGTCGTGGCGGTGTGAAGCGCATCTCCGGATTAATTTACGAGGAAACACGTGGTGTTCTGAAGGTGTTCCTGGAGAACGTTATCCGTGATGCCGTCACCTACACCGAACACGCCAAGAGGAAGACTGTCACAGCCATGGATGTCGTGTACGCCCTGAAGAGGCAAGGCCGCACCCTGTACGGTTTCGGCGGTTAAAAACAAGTACAGCTTGTACTTCATTCAGCAATCGGTCCTTTTCAGGACCACCATTACATCTCCAAAGCAGACAAATTTTCAAAACATTTTACGCTTTTTTGTTTTATTGGCTGGGAACTCCAAATTGGGAGTGAACAAAATCGAAATATTTAGTTTTCACCGCGAGCATTCGTCCGTTTCTCAAACAGGTAGAAAAATGTGTTGTAAAACAATCACTTACAGACATGTATAAAAATGTTTTTTGTTCAGACTGTACTGTTTCAGATGCGAAAGCAGTCTGTCTGATAAAGTTATACAATAAAATAATTATTTAACTTCCCGAACATTTTTAAAACCCAAGATGATGTGTTCACTAGATACATATTTTTTATTTGAAATACTTTTTGATGCCTGATGTTCTATTTGAAAATATTAACAATTCTTTGGTAAAAACTTGGTCGTCCTGAAAAGGACGGTTGGGTATGTTTATGTACAAGTATGTAGTTGGCTCTGCTTTTGGAACGTTTAAGCCTTCTTCTCGGTCTTCTTGGGCAACAGAACAGCCTGGATATTGGGCAATACTCCACCCTGGGCAATGGTGACGCCGGAGAGCAGCTTGTTCAATTCTTCGTCGTTGCGAATGGCCAGCTGCAGATGACGCGGGATAATCCTAGTCTTCTTGTTGTCACGAGCAGCATTGCCAGCCAACTCGAGAACCTCGGCGGCCAGATATTCCATCACGGCAGCCAGGTAAACCGGAGCGCCGGCACCAACACGCTCGGCATAGTTGCCCTTGCGGAGCAGACGGTGAATACGGCCTACTGGGAACTGAAGACCAGCGGGACTTTGCCTTTCCCTTCACTTTGCCACCTTTTCCACGACCAGACATTTTGCTTTATTTCACTTAGTTCATACTATGTACATACTATGGGTCTGACATCAGTCATTTGCTGTGCTGATGTCTGCTTGAAGTGCAAACTTATTTTCTGGTTTTTATTGTTTAAGACCTTTAATCGAAACAATGTTGTTGATTCTATACTAACTTAAATGTTTCATAAAGCACTTTGCATTTACGAAAATGTAATATCTTGTTTCGTTGGCCTTTTATCGCTGAATAAACTTGAACATTGTCATTTGTAATTTGAGCAATTTATTTAAAAACCTATTTTAAAATTAGAAATCTAACAAATATTTGTACGATTCTTAATACAAAATGAAATTTGAACTTTTTACTTTAGGAAATATTGAAAATTTAATCCGTTTTCATTAATTAAGATATTTTATTACTTGTTCCAAGTTGAGCCCAGTCGACATAAAAAGTTTGCTTTCAGGGTACATTCGGTCATAGTTTTCGAGATGAAAAAAATATAAAAGTTTCAAAATGTTATAGTTATTTAAGATTTTCTTAAACAAATCATTTGCATGTTTTGACCGACTTAATTTTTTAGTAATGTTTATGATAGTTTTGGCCAAAATAGGCAAATTTGGCTTGGCTATTCCCATACAATCTTGCTCCTATTATAAATCGTACCAAGTCCCAATCAAAAGAAAAATATAAATTGTATTGTTTTTGACATATTTTTTATTTTGTTTAATAGTAATGGGATTCCCCAACACTGCTGACTTATTTTCAGAGTGTGTTTTGCAGTTTTTCGATTTTTTAAAGAGATTTGAATACGGCATGTGGGTTGTGCTTGTCCCATACAACCTTGTGCCTGATAAAAGTCCCACCAAATACCAATCGAAAAAAAATACGAATTCAAACTTTTTCGAGATAGATTTTGTTTTATTTAATAAATAAGGGATTCGTTATCGTTGCTAAACTATTTTCAAGTTGAGTTTAATAGTTTTTCCATTTTTTAATGAGATTTGAATGGCTTGGCTATTCCTTTACAATCTTGCTCCTTTTTAAAATCGCACCAAGTCCCAATCAAAAAAAATATAAATTGTATTGATTTTTAACATATTTTTTATTTGTTTAATAGTTAAGAGATTCCTAAACGTTGCTAACTTATTTTTAGAGTGTCTTTTGCAGTTTTTCGATTTTTTAAAGAGATTTGAATACGGCATGTGGGTTGTGCTTGTCCCATACAACCTTGTGCCTGATAAAAGTCCCACCAAATACCAATCGAAAAAAAATACGAATTTGAACTTTTTCGAGATAGATTTTGTTTTATTTAATAAATAAGGGATTCGTTATCGTTGCTAAACTATTTTCAAGTTGAGTTTAATAGTTTTTCCATTTTTTAATGAGATTTGAATGGCTTGGCTATTCCTTTACAATCTTGCTCCTTTTTAAAATCGCACCAAGTCCCAATCAAATAAAAATATAAATTGTATTGATTTTTAACATATTTTTGATTTGTTTAATAGTTAAGAGATTCCTAAACGTTGCTAACTTATTTTTAGAGTGTCTTTTGCAGTTTTTCGATTTTTTAAAGAGATTTGAATACGGCATGTGGGTTGTGCTTGTCCCATACAACCTTGTGCCTGATAAAAGTCCCACCAAATACCAATCGAAAAAATACAAATTCGAACTTTTTCGAGATAGGTTTTGTTTTATTTGATAAATAAGGGATTCGTTATTGTTGCTAACTTATTTTAAAATTGAGTTTAATAGTTTTTCGGTTTTTTAATGACAGTTGAATGGTTAGTGCTATTCCCTTCAAACCTTGCACATTGTTCACATCCCAATGCCACACCCCCCTAAAGCGAATTATTTATTAAAATAAAATACATATTTATATATTTATTATAATTAGAAGACGCCAAAAGAAAAATTAATATCTCATCGAAAGTATTTTGTGGTCCTGAAAAGGACCGATTTGTACAAAGTATGCTGGCGCATTGGTCGCTAGTTGAGACCGTCTCAGCTTAAGCACGCTCACCGCGAATGCGACGGGCCAACTGGATGTCCTTGGGCATGATTGTTACACGCTTGGCATGAATGGCACACAAGTTGGTATCTTCAAAAAGGCCAACAAGATATGCTTCGCTAGCTTCCTGAAGAGCCATCACTGCCGAGCTCTGGAACCGCAAATCAGTCTTGAAGTCCTGAGCGATCTCACGCACCAGACGCTGGAAAGGCAGTTTGCGAATCAGCAGCTCGGTACTCTTCTGGTAGCGACGGATCTCACGCAGGGCCACAGTTCCGGGGCGATAGCGATGGGGCTTCTTCACGCCTCCGGTGGCTGGGGCGCTCTTACGAGCGGCCTTGGTGGCCAGTTGTTTGCGTGGCGCCTTGCCACCAGTCGACTTGCGAGCGGTTTGCTTGGTACGAGCCATTTTCGATTTCTATGTTGATATTTATATTCACTGATGTTCACTTCGCGTCTGAAAACACAATAAACGGTTGCCGCGTTCACTGCCTGCTTATATAGCAAAATGTGGAGGGTTGGAAAGAGAAAGAGGCAGAGGCCATCTCGTTTGACGAGCGAAAAGCCAGACGAATATATCGCTCGGACTCGCTCGGGTATCTATGGGTTTAGGTATAAATAGGGGCACGCCGAAAAATCGGAATTAGTTCTTCAGTGACTTTCGTGCAGTGTGTTAATATAGTAGAAAAGTGAAAAATGACTGGTCGTGGTAAAGGAGGCAAAGGCTTGGGAAAAGGTGGCGCCAAGCGTCATCGCAAAGTGCTGCGTGATAACATCCAGGGTATTACGAAGCCAGCCATACGCCGTTTGGCTCGTCGTGGCGGTGTGAAGCGCATCTCCGGATTAATTTACGAGGAAACACGTGGTGTTCTGAAGGTGTTCCTGGAGAACGTTATCCGTGATGCCGTCACCTACACCGAACACGCCAAGAGGAAGACTGTCACAGCCATGGATGTCGTGTACGCCCTGAAGAGGCAAGGCCGCACCCTGTACGGTTTCGGCGGTTAAAAACAAGTACAGCTTGTACTTCATTCAGCAATCGGTCCTTTTCAGGACCACCATTACATCTCCAAAGCAGACAAATTTTCAAAACATTTTACGCTTTTTTGTTTTATTGGCTGGGAACTCCAAATTGGGAGTGAACAAAATCGAAATATTTAGTTTTCACCGCGAGCATTCGTCAGTTTCTCAAACAGGTAGAAAAATGTGTTGTAAAACAATCACTTACAGACATGTATAAAAATGTTTTTTGTTCAGACTGTACTGTTTCAGATGCGAAAGCAGTCTGTCTGATAAAGTTATACAATAAAATTATTATTTAACTTCCCGAACATTTTTAAAACCCAAGATGCTGTGTTCACTAGATACATATTTTTTATTTGAAATACTTTTTGATGCCTGATGTTCTATTTGAAAATATTAACAATTCTTTGGTAAAAACTTGGTCGTCCTGAAAAGGACGGTTGGGTATGTTTATGTACAAGTATGTAGTTGGCTCTGCTTTTGGAACGTTTAAGCCTTCTTCTCGGTCTTCTTGGGCAACAGAACAGCCTGGATATTGGGCAATACTCCACCCTGGGCAATGGTGACGCCGGAGAGCAGCTTGTTCAATTCTTCGTCGTTGCGAATGGCCAGCTGCAGATGACGCGGGATAATCCTAGTCTTCTTGTTGTCACGAGCAGCATTGCCAGCCAACTCGAGAACCTCGGCGGCCAGATATTCCATCACGGCAGCCAGGTAAACCGGAGCGCCGGCACCAACACGCTCGGCATAGTTGCCCTTGCGGAGCAGACGGTGAATACGGCCTACTGGGAACTGAAGACCAGCCCGGTTGGAGCGGGACTTTGCCTTTCCCTTCACTTTGCCACCTTTTCCACGACCAGACATTTTGCTTTATTTCACTTAGTTCATACTATGTACATACTATGGGTCTGACATCAGTCATTTGCTGTGCTGATGTCTGCTTGAAGTGCAAACTTATTTTCTGGTTTTTATTGTTTAAGACCTTTAATCGAAACAATGTTGTTGATTCTATACTAACTTAAATGTTTCATAAAGCACTTTGCATTTACGAAAATGTAATATCTTGTTTCGTTGGCCTTTTATCGCTGAATAAACTTGAACATTGTCATTTGTAATTTGAGCAATTTATTTAAAAACCTATTTTAAAATTAGAAATCTAACAAATATTTGTACGATTCTTAATACAAAATGAAATTTGAACTTTTTACTTTAGGAAATATTGAAAATTTAACCCGTTTTCATTAATTAAGATATTTTATTACTTGTTCCAAGTTGAGCCCAGTCGACATAAAAAGTTTGCTTTCAGGGTACATTCGGTCATAGTTTTCGAGATGAAAAAAATATAAAAGTTTCAAAATGTTATAGTTATTTAAGATTTTCTTAAACAAATCATTTGCATGTTTTGACCGACTTAATTTTTTAGTAATGTTTATGATAGTTTTGGCCAAAATAGGCAAATTTGGCTTGGCTATTCCCATACAATCTTGCTCCTATTATAAATCGTACCAAGTCCCAATCAAAAGAAAAATATAAATTGTATTGTTTTTGACATATTTTTTATTTTGTTTAATAGTAATGGGATTCCCCAACACTGCTGACTTATTTTCAGAGTGTGTTTTGCAGTTTTTCGATTTTTTAAAGAGATTTGAATACGGCATGTGGGTTGTGCTTGTCCCATACAACCTTGTGCCTGATAAAAGTCCCACCAAATACCAATCGAAAAAAATACGAATTCGAACTTTTTCGAGATAGATTTTGTTTTATTTAATAAATAAGGGATTCGTTATCGTTGCTAAACTATTTTCATGTTGAGTTTAATAGTTTTTCCATTTTTTAATGAGATTTGAATGGCTTGGCTATTCCTTTACAATCTTGCTCCTTTTTAAAATCGCACCAAGTCCCAATCAAAAAAAAATATAAATTGTATTGATTTTTAACATATTTTTTATTTGTTTAATAGTTAAGAGATTCCTAAACGTTGCTAACTTATTTTTAGAGTGTGTTTTGCAGTTTTTCGATTTTTTAAAGAGATTTCAATACGGCATGTGGGTTGTGCTTGTCCCAAACAACCTTGTGCCTGATAAAAGTCCCACCAAATACCAATCGAAAAAATACAAATTCGAACTTTTTCGAGATAGGTTTTGTTTTATTTGATAAATAAGGGATTCGTTATTGTTGCTAACTTATTTTAAAATTGAGTTTAATAGTTTTTCGGTTTTTTAATGACAGTTGAATGGTTAGTGCTATTCCCTTCAAACCTTGCACATTGTTCACATCCCAATGCCACACCCCCCTAAAGCGAATTATTTATTAAAATAAAATACATATATATATATATATATATATTTATTATAATTAGAAGACGCCAAAAGAAAAATTAATATCTCATCGAAAGTATTTTGTGGTCCTGAAAAGGACCGATTTGTACAAAGTATGCTGGCGCATTGGTCGCTAGTTGAGACCGTCTCAGCTTAAGCACGCTCACCGCGAATGCGACGGGCCAACTGGATGTCCTTGGGCATGATTGTTACACGCTTGGCATGAATGGCACACAAGTTGGTATCTTCAAAAAGGCCAACAAGATATGCTTCGCTAGCTTCCTGAAGAGCCATCACTGCCGAGCTCTGGAACCGCAAATCAGTCTTGAAGTCCTGAGCGATCTCACGCACCAGACGCTGGAAAGGCAGTTTGCGAATCAGCAGCTCGGTACTCTTCTGGTAGCGACGGATCTCACGCAGGGCCACAGTTCCGGGGCGATAGCGATGGGGCTTCTTCACGCCTCCGGTGGCTGGGGCGCTCTTACGAGCGGCCTTGGTGGCCAGTTGTTTGCGTGGCGCCTTGCCACCAGTCGACTTGCGAGCGGTTTGCTTGGTACGAGCCATTTTCGATTTCTATGTTGATATTTATATTCACTGATGTTCACTTCGCGTCTGAAAACACAATAAACGGTTGCCGCGTTCGTGCCTGCTTATATAGCAAAATGTGGAGGGTTGGAAAGAGAAAGAGGCAGAGGCAGAGGCCATCTCGTTTGACGAGCGAAGAGCGAGACGAATATATCGCTCGGACTCGTTCGGGTATCTATGGGTTTAGGTATAAATAGGGGCACGCCGAAAAATCGGAATTAGTTCTTCAGTGACTTTCGTGCAGTGTGTTAATATAGTAGAAAAGTGAAAAATGACTGGTCGTGGTAAAGGTAGAGCTGCAAAAAAATCGATAGTAGCACCATCGATAGTTTTGAATTTTTGCGGAGTAAACATCGATACTATCGCGATAATATCGCCCAGATGTAAACATTAGGGGTATTCATGTAAAACCAATATAATAGGGGCATTCCTTTAGGCAATTATTTATTAAAAATAGTGTAATTAGGAAAATTTTAATTTTCAATAATTTACAATTAAAAACACAATTAGTTTTATTTTTTTTAAATTTAAGTGAGACCTTTTCTTTAATAGCTTTGGCAGGATTAATTCTAATACTTTTCCTTTGTAAGGAACCAGTTTTTGTTTATAAACAAAAGAATATTAACAGTCTTTGGTTTTAACGATGCCCGTCGATCGGATATAGTAAGGCCCGCCTTGGAAAACATTCGTTCAGATTCCGTGGAAGTTGCGGGAATGCACAGTCCCTGCTTTGCGCTTATAGCCAGTTGGGGCATCTCTTGTTCATGTTGCTGCAGTTAAAAAAAATAAAAAATAATAATAGAAAGAATAGAAAGAATTAACTTACCTTCCAATATTCTAAAGGATCATGAGTTTCTTCTAAGTTCATGCGTGTGAAATACTGCCTTAGCTGTATGATTGACTCAACTTTATTAGATCTTTGCTTCAAATCAATATTTTGTTTCACAAAATGAAGAAGAAAATGGAATTACACTGGACACAGTCACTTTTGTGCTCGAAGACAATTGCTTCGTTACTTCATCAAACGGAGCCAGCAGGTCTTTCAAATCCTCCAATAAAGTAACATCGTCTGCTGCCAGCGGCTCCGGCGCCTTGGACAAGCTAAGCAGCATTGGTGAAATAAACTCTTTGGTTAAGAGTATGCGCTCGACCATTTGGAAAGCGCTGTTCCAGCGTGTGCATACCTCCTGTTTCAGGCTGTATGGCTTGCCGAGACCTTGAGCTATTTTGAATTTTTCATAGGCAATTGTGCTGCTTTTAAAAAAGGTCACTATTCGCTTGCATTTAGCTAACACTGTATGAATCTCTTTTATAGCAAGGCAGTCTTGTATAACCAGGTTAAGGACATGAGCATAGCACGGAAGATGTCTTTTCTCAAGAAGTTCACATGCCTTCACCATGTTGCTAGCATAGTTACGGATAAAACTATTGCGCAAACTTTTGGCAACAGATTCCATTTTATCAGTTCTGCGCGCAATGATGATGCGATATTGTCAGCAGAATGATTTGTTGCACATAGGAGTGGCTGTGTTGCCAATACTGCCGAATTTAGCTGGAAGTTTCCGTCAATGAAGTGAACAGTTATGGTCAAATAACCAGTGTTGGGTTTGCTTGTCCAGCAGTCCGTTGTAATCGCACACTGATCGACTTTGTCAAGCATCAACTGTAGTTTTTCACTGAGCTCTATGTACATGTTTTTCATTTTCACGTCCTGTAGCGTTGTGCGTAACGGCAATTTGTAGCGCGGATCTAACAACTTGACAAACTTCCTAAACCCTTCGTCCTCCACAATAGAAAAAGGTTGTATGTCCTTAGCAATCATGCCCATCAACGCCATATCAAGACTTGCTTTTCGGACCGAATTGCTGTCGTACTCATCGTTAGTAAACAATGTCTTTATTGTCGGTTGTGTGGCCTTGTACTGGCTGTGAGTTGGGTGGAATCTCCTTAAATGGTCAGCAAGGTTGCTAGTGTTTCCGCTAGTTTTGTAAATTTTTTTACAAATTCGGCATTTTGCTTGTCTACCATCTTTTGTTTTCTCAAAGAGATCCCACACCGAACTTGCCAGTCGGCTCAACTTTTTCAAAGATTTCTCTTGCGCCTTGCCCACTTCTTCAATACCTTTCGATGCTGTCTACTTCACATCCTTGTCTCCATCTTTTGTGAAAAAAAAATATTTGTGAATTTAATCTCTTAATATCTTTTCCATCCACTTACTTTTTCCCTCGCCATCCATTTTTAAGGAACCACCGAAACCACCAAAATTTGAATATTGCTGTCGAAAACAAAAAAAAAATTAGTAAATATTTAATTTTTCGCATCCAAACGTGTTTACCTTCTTAATTCTTCGAAATCCAAGTGATGAAAATTTTTTGTAATACTATCGTGATAGTCTGAAAAATATCGTAGACGGTCACCGGCGGCCAGCCATCGATATTATCGATAGTACCATCGATTTTTTTGCAGCTCTAGGTAAAGGAGGCAAAGGCTTGGGAAAAGGTGGCGCCAAGCGTCATCGCAAAGTGATGCGTGATAACATCCAGGGTATTACCACTAACCATACAACATATAGACTGGTCATTTCATACAACGAATTTGGTCACAAAATTTTTCACTCGGGGGCCCCAGTGCTGGAATCGGCAGGCCCCGACACTTCGTGTGCCTTCGGGTTTTTTCGCTCTCGTTCTAATTCTTATTTTGACGCTCGCGCTCGAGTTCGGTCGTTCAGTCGCAGAGACGCGCATTTTGAAGAAGGTTGGCCTGCGATTGAATTGGGCTTTGTATGTATGCGTGTTCATGCATTCTCATACAGGGGTGCATGTGTGCGATCATTTCATTTCGATGCAGCAAGAATATTTTGTCTTTTGCTACTTTTCAGACTTGGTACCCTAACAATATGGGCGTATTCACTATTGGGTTAATGATAAAAATAAGAATATTATATGTTATAGTATATTTTTAATATTTCAGCATATATTTCATCTTGGTTTACAAATTCAAATCAGTGGTAGCAAAAAAATATTTTGCATATATGTATGTATTCCAATTAATAGAAATCAATCTACTGAGATAGGAACAGGGCACATCGCAGTCGGTGTCTGCGCTTAGTGGTTCAGAAAACTTCAAACCAAATCAGCTTTGGTTGTTGTTCTGCGAGCGTATGGTGCCTGCATAGCCTACCGACGATTGAATTTTAGGGGTGGGTACAGAAACAAGAACGGCTGTTTGGCTTTTGTTTTGTTTACATTTATTAGGACACTTGTTTTGAATGATATGTTTAATGAGTTTTGGTTGATTTTTTTTTGATTCGCAGTGTAATTTTGTTTAATGTTGTTATTTAATGATCTAGTTATATATATTTTTATGTTTGCTTATTCTTGAAAGTCGCCGCTTGAATTAGTTACCGATAAATATACATATGTACATATAATAATTTTATAGTTTTAATCTTGGAAAATAACAAATTGTTTATCCACTATAAAGTACAGACAAAAATAAATTTGAAGTGATTTTCTTAAATTTATATTACTATTTTAAATCAAGAAGTAAACTTTTAATGATTTTTAATATAAAAAAAAATTATAAAATTAATTATCATTAAACATAACATTCAAAACAAGTGTCCTAAAAAACGTTCTTGTTTCTGTACCCACCCCTAAAATTCAATCGTCGGTAGGCTATGCAGGCACCATACGCTCGCAGAACAACAACCAAAGCTGATTTGGTTTGAAGTTTTCTGAACCACTAAGCGCAGACACCGACTGCGATGTGCCCTGTTCCTAAATCAGTAGATTGATTTCTATTAATTGGAATACATACATATATGCAAAATATTTTTTTGCTACCACTGATTTGAATTTGTAAACCAAGATGAAATATATGCTGAAATATTAAAAATATACTATAACATATAATATTCTTATTTTTATCATTAACCCAATAGTGAATACGCCCATATTGTTAGGGTACCAAGTCTGAAAAGTAGCAAAAGACAAAATATTCTTGCTGCATCGAAATGAAATGATCGCACACATGCACCCCTGTATGAGAATGCATGAACACGCATACATACAAAGCCCAATTCAAGCGCAGGCCAACCTTCTTCAAAATGCGCGTCTCTGCGACTGAACGACCGAACTCGAGCGCGAGCGTCAAAATAAGAATTAGAACGAGAGCGAAAAAACCCGAAGGCACACGAAGTGTCGGGGCCTGCCGATTCCAGCACTGGGGCCCCCGAGTGAAAAATTTTGTGACCAAATTCGTTGTATGAAATGACCAGTCTATATGTTGTATGGTTAGTGGTATTACGAAGCCAGCCATACGCCGTTTGGCTCGTCGTGGCGGTGTGAAGCGCATCTCCGGATTAATTTACGAGGAAACACGTGGTGTTCTGAAGGTGTTCCTGGAGAACGTTATCCGTGATGCCGTCACCTACACCGAACACGCCAAGAGGAAGACTGTCACAGCCATGGATGTCGTGTACGCCCTGAAGAGGCAAGGCCGCACCCTGTACGGTTTCGGCGGTTAAAAACAAGTACAGCTTGTACTTCATTCAGCAATCGGTCCTTTTCAGGACCACCATTACATCTCCAAAGCAGACAAATTTTCAAAACATTTTACGCTTTTTTGTTTTATTGGCTGGGAACTCCAAATTGGGAGTGAACAAAATCGAAATATTTAGTTTTCACCGCGAGCATTCGTCAGTTTCTCAAACAGGTAGAAAAATGTGTTGTAAAACAATCACTTACAGACATGTATAAAAATGTTTTTTGTTCAGACTGTACTGTTTCAGATGCGAAAGAGCAGTCTGTCTGATAAAGTTATACAATAAAATTATTATTTAACTTCCCGAACATTTTTAAAACCCAAGATGCTGTGTTCACTAGATACATATTTTTTATTTGAAATACTTTTTGATGCCTGATGTTCTATTTGAAAATATTAACAATTCTTTGGTAAAAACTTGGTCGTCCTGAAAAGGACGGTTGGGTATGTTTATGTACAAGTATGTAGTTGGCTCTGCTTTTGGAACGTTTAAGCCTTCTTCTCGGTCTTCTTGGGCAACAGAACAGCCTGGATATTGGGCAATACTCCACCCTGGGCAATGGTGACGCCGGAGAGCAGCTTGTTCAATTCTTCGTCGTTGCGAATGGCCAGCTGCAGATGACGCGGGATAATCCTAGTCTTCTTGTTGTCACGAGCAGCATTGCCAGCCAACTCGAGAACCTCGGCGGCCAGATATTCCATCACGGCAGCCAGGTAAACCGGAGCGCCGGCACCAACACGCTCGGCATAGTTGCCCTTGCGGAGCAGACGGTGAATACGGCCCACTGGGAATTGAAGACCAGCCCGGTTGGAGCGGGACTTTGCCTTTCCCTTCACTTTGCCACCTTTTCCACGACCAGACATTTATTTCACTTAGTTCACTTAACACACAAAAACGAATGCTCGAGAAAAATTGGTAGCCACATATTTATACTTTTTTGCCTGCCTGCGCGTTTAGTTAGGGGTGGGTGCCTTATACCTGAAAAGGTTGCTCGAAAAAAAGTATAAGGGTGAACGCGTTCCGGCTCCGTTATGATCAGTGAATTGTGTTTGTGAAATTAAAAGTGAACTGAAATAATGCTGCCGAAAACTACTGGAAAAGCAGCTCAATTTCTTAGAATTTCGAAATTCTCAATAATATAGATAGTGACTGAAAAATATATAAAAGAAATAAGAAAAGTGAATCAAACGGACAAAAACAATATAACACCGACGGTTGCATATGCAGAACTGGCGTCGGTCACCCAAAAATGCAAAACCAATAAAAGCCCTCGTAAACTGAGAATCATGCCATATGACAAAAAAACAATCATCAGTGCCTTAATGGCAAAGAGTCCCGGTACATCATCCACGCAGTTAGTTCCTGAAGCAACAGCGAACATACCAACAAATATTACTGAAACAATAACAGAACCAACGGTAAAGCAAATACCTAATACACCTGAAAGCAGCCTTAATTCCGATAACAATGAAATGGATTTCGAAAGCGCAAATAATAAGCGTAAATACACAACATCATCTGAAGAAGAATCTGAATCCAGCTTCGACGAATCCAATGAAGAAGAAGAAGAAGACGATGAAGATGAATCACCTTCGAAAATCACCAACGCAGAGCTCCATGGACTACTTCAGGAGCTACAAAAATTAAGAGAGCAGAACAAACTTCTCATGCTACAACAAAACATCAAAACCGCCGAAACACCAATTGTCGACAACTTTCCGCGTCCAACGAATGGAAATAACAACAAAGACGTCATGTTTCCGCCCCTGGAAGCATCTACAACGATTAAGAAAAACAAAGCTACAAAAGCTACAATTGCCAAGACAACTCCTACCCAGAAGACCGCAGGCTCAAAGGATTCGACTTCTGAACCAGACCTTAATATAAAGAACCTACCGGTCATAGTACTCTACAACGAAAATCCTTCAAAACTAAAAGGTATATTTAACTATAAGTTTAATTTAAACATCTTAAATAAAAATGTTACCCATATTAAGACTTTCTCCCTCGAAACTCTCGAAAAAACCAAAACAATACTGTCAAAAAATAATATGAATTTCTTTACATACACACCTAAACAAATAAAGCCACATAACATAATAATAAAAAAAATTCCTCCTTTATTATTTAATAAAGAGGAAGTAGAAAACGCACTCAAAGAGGCTGTTCCAGAATTGGAAATTATCTCACTAGAACCCTTTAAAATAAAACACTGGCACGCCGTGTTAAAAAAATCAAAAGACATTAAAAAAATTTTCAATATACGATATCTATTAAACTGTAAGGTAGACATAGAGACTTATAAGCCCCACCCAAAAGAAATCAAACAGTGCCACAAGTGCCAACGATTTCTACACGTCGCCTCGAACTGTAACATGCCATACCGTTGTGTAAAATGTACAGAAGAACACGCTCCTGGGAATTGCAAAATTAAAAAACCAGAAAACAAAGATGAAAATCAACCAATCATGACACAATGCGTGAACTGCAAAGGACAACACACAGCCAACGCTAGAATATGCCCGGTACGCATAAAATATATAAAAAACATTACAGACAGACGCCAAATACAAGCTGCAAAACTCAATAAAAAAATAAACCCAATAAAATATTCCCAAAACCAAAAAACAAATCAAATAAAAGAAGGCTTAAGCTTTGCGGCCGCAGTTAAATCCAACAATACAGCAACAACAAGAAAACAGTACCAACCTCGAGGTAATAACCAGTCCCTATCTTTAGAAAAATTAGATAATGTTTCAATCGAAGCCTTTGGAAAGGACCTTCTAACCTGTTATGAAATAATGAAATCGGTAGTAGAGAGGTACCCAGCTGTGAATGAAAGCGACCAAAAAACGAAACAAACTTTAATCCTGGATTTCCTAATACAAATTGCGGTCAACTGAAGATGAAAATAGTTTTCCAAAATGTCAACGGAATCGTTTTTCTCAGAAAGAGAATCGAACTTAACCAATTCCTGAAAAAACACAAGCCAGAAATTTTAATTATTGCAGAACATAACCTAAATAGCTCACACGCTCCAATGTTGGATACACATCATTTTATAAACCAAACAACTATATCGGTGGCATCAGCCTTAAAAACTCAAAATAGAAAAAAAGAATCGGGAAAACAAGTAGCCATTTGCCTAAAAAACGGCTTAAAACACGAACATATTAATATTGAACAAATGGAGTTTATTGAAGCAGTAGGTATTAAAATACACTATACCGACATGAATAATAGACCCTTAACATGCGTGCTTATATCACTATATAAAAGACCCCAGCATGCACTTTTAAGCTCTGATCTAAATAAACTGATGAACTCAATATTAAAAATTAAAAATTACGATCAGATAATTATCGGATGCGACCTAAACGCCAAGCACCCTTCTTGGAACAAACCAAATCATAACAATCGCCATGTAAATCAGTCAGGAAAGGTTCTCGATCAATGGTTATCTGGCCAGCCTTCACTTACTATCATTCCCAGCCAAGAACCAACCCGCCCAAATCTAATACAAGACTCATCAATAGATTTTTTCATTACTTCCAACTCAATTAAAATAGACAACCACACATTTATGTACGGGTGCAAAGTAATAAAAGATTTTGCCTCAGACTATCACGGCATAGAACTAACAATAAACCAGAGGAGTAATCTCATCTATAACCAACCCAAAACAATATACAATTTTAATAAAATAAACAGCATTTCTTGGAACACATTAATTCTACAAAATTTGAGAAATATACCAAACAAAGAAAACATAAACTCTAACGAAATAGACAACCATGTTCAAATCCTAACAAATGCCATATCAACAGCCTTAAATTCTGAAAACGCCATTCCCAAAATAACAATAGACCCAACCAAACCTCACCAAAAAATTAATCTCAGCAATCAATGTATCAAATTAATTCAAATCAAAAGGAAACTAAGACGATCCCTTTTCCGCCACCGCCATAGCTTAACACAAACTCAACTAATACAAATCCAAAATACCAAAATAGCATCAAACACAAATAGAATAACATTCGACAACCTACACACAGCTGATGGAAATTGGACAGGAGCCACAATTATGGGATTCACAAACGCAGAAGACCTTCTCCAAATACTCAAAACTAAAAATAATAAAAAAACTATGGGCCCAGATGGCACAAGTAACTTTCTTCTCAAAAACTGCAATAAACCAGTCCTGAACCACATAGCAATTATATTTAATCACTGCCTCAATATAGGATATTTTCCATCTGAGTGGAAACACAGCAAAGTCATCCCAATCCCAAAAACAAACTGCAAGCCTAACAGCTTGCAATCTTTTAGACCAATTGCAATACTATCCGCAATAAGTTTACTGTTAGAAAAAGTAATAACATCAGAAATTAAACGCCATCTGAATTCCAACAGAATATTAAAAGAAAATCAGTACGGGTTCAAAGACGGACTATCAACTAATCACGCATTTGCTGCAGCCAATGATTTCATCTATGGAAATCTGGCCCACAGGCGTGCAACAATCGCCTGCGCTCTTGACTTCGAAAAGGCATTTGATACGGTCTGGATTGATGGACTCATCTACAAAATGAGCCAACATTTTAATTTTAGACCAGAAACCATTAAAATAATACAAAATTACCTATTAAATCGATCATTTCAAGTACATAGTCCCTCTGAAAACGAAATCTCAATAATAAGAACAGTTCCAGCAGATGTTCCCCAAGGATCCCTACTAGCACCAATACTCTATAACATATATCTTGCAGATCTCCCCTACTATACACCGAATACAGCTACATCTACGCAAATAAAAACACTCATATATGCAGACGACATTCTATTACTCGCATCCGCAGGATATATGTCGAGTGCACAGAATGACATTAATACATACCTAGACATGCTATGCAATTACTTTACCAAATGGCACATTAAACTAAATGCTAAAAAATGCATAAGCTCCATTTTCAAAGGACCGTGCCTCACTGGAATTTACAAAAACGCCCGAAAATTTGTACCTAAAGTG